ATGTATTTTCGTAGCAGCGCGATGGCTGATTTCCATTTTCATAGGACGAAGCTACGACAACGGACTGATCCATAATATCGTGCCCGGGGCAGAAGCTCGTAAAAAAAGGAGTACGATATCGTGGAAATAAGAGGAAGTCCCGTTTTATTACTGTTGGAAAACGGAAAGGGAAACGGAGACAGGATATATGTATTCGAGATCTATTCGATATGTATTCGTGTACCTTTAAGAACAGAATCGATTCGGGGCGATGACTCTTTCCATCCTCGACAGCATCAATCTCCTAGAATTTACTTTATTGATTGTAAAAGCTATGAAACTGTAGATTTGTCGTGGCTTTACTACTTGAAAGCTTCGAAAGAGCAAAAATGGTTCCAGGAAGATATTTCTGAACGACGAATCGTTCGTTTCGAACTTTTGCATACGCCCCATATCGTATTTCGGAACCTCTACGACTGCCGCGGAAGTAAATCAAACTGCAGGTTTTCCTGTATGATCAATTTTCGAAATATTATCGTTCGATTATATAACGTTAATTAACTCACATCATGCGTGTGACAGTCTTCCAAGTTATAATTAAGTACAATACGCGAACGGAATAAAAGAAACTCGTATCAGATTTACAATGTAAGCGATCTTGATAACCCGGTAAAAGGAGGTCTCGTTAAAATGCAACAAAATTGTCCTGCGTACTCGGAAATTGAAAAGAATGGATGTAAAAGGAACGAGTCGACTTCAACAACTTCAAATCGTCGCGAAGATTCGGTTGAGAAGAGGGAAAGAGACAAGCAGAGGCGGTTTTTCAAGCGATCAACCATAAACGGTCGAAGACAAGGCTGGCTGTAAATGGCCGTGACGGGAACCATGGTGCCACGTGTACACTGGTGCTCATAAGTCCTGACATAGGCCACGAGCACGGCTATCTTTTCGACGAATCGTCCTCCTTTACATCTACGCTCGCTGACGTTTGCAGCCGCGTTTGCGAGCAACAGCAGATGCCCCGTATGCACCGACAAGGTGAAATGTGCGTGCCGTCTGTGGGATAATAATCTGCTATGTTACCAAAGGACATGTTCAAAATCGATTTAAGTTTACTTCGACTGCTAACTTAGGTTAATCTTGTATCTTGTAATATCTTATATCAACACTAGGTCCATATTATTGAAGTCCTCAAGCTTTAATACTCAAATATTCTAAGTTCTTAAATTTTCATGTTCATGTCCTCTTTGCAAGTATTCAAAAGTATCTATGTTTCCTAAATCAAAAAAATTAAGAATTTGAATCTTAGGAGAAGACAAATTAACTTTCTAGCGTCCAAGACGTTTGACGTTTAATCTATTGTGTCCAAAGTATCCATATTTTCTAAATCAAAAAAATTAAAAATTGCTAACTTAGGAGAAGGCAAACTAGCTCTCTAGCATCCAAAACCTTAGACCTTTAATCTATTGTGCCTGAAGTATCCATACTTCCTAAATCAAAAAAATAAAAAATTTCTAACTTAAGGGAAGGGAAATTAGCTCTCCAGCGTCCAAAACCTTAGACCTTTAATTTATTGTGCCTAAAGTATCCATACTTCCTAAATCAAAAAGAATAAAAATTTGTAACTGAAGATAAGGCAAATAAGCTCTGTAGTGTCCAAGACGTTTGACCTTTAATCTATTACGCCGCATAGCTGCAGGATAAATCCTTTTCTAATTCAGTTCTGATTATTCCGTACAAATCAGCATAATGACCCCCCAGTATGCACAATTCCATTGCTATGCAAACGCATTATTAGTGGCATTATCGGTACAGTTTGTGTACCAGCGATGGCGCACGCGCTGCACAGGTGTCAAGCCAGTGCAAACGTAAGGTGGAGTCCTGTACACGCGTTCACCTGCTCCTGGAGGACTCGAGTTGAACGTCGCCAGGGGAATCCTCTCCTGACGACGCACAAAGGCGCTTTGTCGGTCGTATCGCTTTCCTTTGAAAGGGGGCGTAATCAAGTCCGGCACGTCCGGAAGGCTGTCGTCGTACGTGCCGAGTAAATCCGTGAAGGCCACCTTTGTAACTGAATCAACTAGCCTGTCTTCCGCGATATCGTTTGATAAATTCTATTCGACCTGCTACCGCATACTGCTTCCTATTGTCGCGAACGCTTATGCTTGACAACGTTAATCTTTCCAGTATGCAAAATTAAAGTCGTATTACCGCTCTTCACTCCAAGTATTTCGTGTTTATCTGTGTTTGTATGAGGCCGCGTGTACGAGGGATGATCGTGGAAGTTCAGAAGTTAGGGAACTTTCTGTGTCTAGGTGCTTAACACCAGGTTTATGGAACTCGTCAACAGAATATGACAGACATTTCTACGAAAGAACGGCAAAGTTTTGTGATGTAATATGGGAAACCTAAAACCTGTCAGTTTGTTAACGCTAAGGGTTCAGTCCATAGGTTATTTGTTTTATAAAAATTAAAATAATTGCCTATAAGAATTTATGTTTTATCCCTTATTTAATCATTATTAAATCTTCTGTAAATAGTAGGAATTGATAACCTACTAATAACCTACTGTAGATAATAATCTACCCTTCCATGTCTTTTCTTTCCCTTTCATGCTACAGCAATAAATAATAGAAAATATTTCTTAAATGAAAGCATCCATCAATGTACCACCAGTCGAATATTAACTTCGACTTAGAAGTTCGGAAAGAACAAAATAAATAAAGTTTCACGAGAACATTGAAGATGTAGGGTTTCTGGAGCCACCCTTTCTAGCTATCCCAGGTTTCGACCCTTCACCCCTGACGATCTCAGCACAATATTTCACGAAGATATTGAATGACCTGGTGATTCGTGTTGATAAGAAATTTGTCAATCTTCGCATCTTTCATCTGGGCGTGACCCTTCGTGCCCCTTGACGAGTTTCTCTTTGTACCTTTTCAACCCTAACAATTCCAGAGGGATTCTTAATTTATAGTTTTCTTTGAAATATGAGCCTTTGCAATGAATAAAGGCAGTCAAATTATAATAACATAGTTGTGATGAGGGGTGGAACATAATTATGGAATGGAGGGATGATATCAGATTATTGAATGAAATATTTCTAAAGAGAAAATGTTTTGAAATTGTATACAAGTTATAAAAGAGGTGGATTTTGAATACTCGCAACTTCATTTTTTGGAAAAGTACCATAATGCACTTATCGAAAACATAATATGACAGATTTATTTGCTCCTGAAACATCGGATTGCTGCATTTGAAAACTGAATTCAATTTATATCACGCTCCGGATGTGCTCGTGCAATTTACGGATTACATGTCCCCTGTAATCAACAGACGGTGTTGATTGATTAAATCGTGTAATTTCTCGCTTACAAATTGTAGCATTGTATTATGCAGCATAAAATAATCCGTGTACAGTAACGCTTCTCGGATGAATGGTAGAATATCGAGCTTCAAATGAATAACGAAGCAATTTAACCACATTCCAATGACAAACGGTATAATTTAATGAGACGAAGAGACTGTGTAATTCTTATTTTTATGCTTTTTAATTTGATATCGATTTGCCTTTTCGAACGGTGCCTCTGTCGCCATCGGGTGGCGCATCACAAAACTCACGCAACAGAATCTTTCTTATTTTTGTACAATTTTTTTGAAATCTTGTCAAAAACTTTAAGATATTCAAATAATATTATAACATCTTTAATGAGTGAAGAAGTAATCTATGAAGACTGAAGGTTTTTCACTATGAGTTACAGAAATATACTACCTTATCTAACGGTGATACTAATATCGACAAACGGGAAATCATAATGCAATGTTGGACATGTAATTATACCGATAATTTTCCGTAGAAAAGCCAATTTGATAATGGCTTTGCAAAGTCAAAACACTCCGAAGTTAATTAATCTTGCACCCCGATGTAATTTGATGCATATTATAATAAATTAAGCCAATAAAATCGATATTAATTAAAATAAAACATGTGGCGCCATCTCTCCGGCGAACAGGGTGAACTACACGGTTTTTAAACTGTGGTTCCATTAGTTCCCACATGCTACCGCTAGTTGGCGCTACACTAGAATGATTCAAAGATGGCGGCTAATTTTCTTTCGAATAAAAACCGTTTTCACAAATATATTCTTTTGCGAGAAAGAGCGTATTTACAAAATTTGTAAATGATATTATAGCATGATGATTTCCCGAAGTTCTACTCAATTATTTGAGTAGACATTTTTCAGGAACATGTTCGTGTTCGATCTTTTCCTTCGTTGATAACGAAGGATATTTCTCAACTGTCGCTACATATTTATGTATTGCATGCAATATTACCGCTTGTCGCTACATGACATTAGTAGCACATTTTTCAGAGAGAGCGCGTGTACATATAAATTTTAAAGAACGTTCAAAAATACTATCAAAATACACTCACCGTTTCGTTGATATTTTCCAATAAAGTCCCTGCTCACTTCCTGTTACAAAACCCTGCTTTAACAACTCATTTACCTGAAAAAATTAATCAATTCTTGTTTAGACATAATTCATATCAATGCTGTGCAAACATATATACTTTAAACCTATTTACCTGTCATTTTCTCTAGGAAGTCAAACTGGAGTCTACATGCACGTTCAAACTGTTCTCCATACGCACAACACAGCATCAGTAAATATATAAAGACTTGATTATACCTGTATAAATTATCGTAATTTAATAAAAAATAGCACATGTGTATAAATACAATATATTAAAGTTTCATACGTACACACACAATTATTCTGTACAACATAATTTACACTTTTCGCACCGACAGCACAACCGCACTTCGCAAAAATACGTTACCGCTAACGATCCAACTGCGCATGCGCAGAATACGGTTGTATTCGAAATGCGCGGGACTTCCATCGATCGACAATTCTGGATTGTCTGATTCTATATTTCTCCAGCAGATGGGCTCCACCAGCGTCTGGTCCACGTGACGTCACCGCGGTTGAAGCTCGCAAGCGTTCCTAGCGGCAGTTCTCGGAAGTACGTTCACTCGATAGGACGGACGACCGTCGTCTGGCGCACGACGAGCTTCAAGCAATATGGCGAAGTGTGTCATGGGCTCGGTGAGACGTAGTGTCGTTTGAAAATATGAAAAGTTCGCGGTATGGGTTGAGAATAATGTAGCGCTATGAAGATCGTGTGAATATTGTATTTGTGTATAACGAAGCATCGAGCTAGTTCCTTGTGATCGGGGAATTATACAGTGTGCGTTACCGGTGTGAAATCATGGCTACGGATAAAATAAAGGTTGCCGTTCGGGTCCGGCCGTTCAATCGCAGAGGTATGTAATTTTCGAACTAATTATAATGCATTTTTTGTCGCACTTTCTTGCGCTATCGTTCCGTCGATCTTTTATCGCCGTGCATGCTCGGGACAGCGAATTATTCGTTGACGATTTCGAAATCGACCTTCGATACCGTTCCACGATCGCGCTACGTTTTGACAGAATGACGTTTCCCCGATTGGTTCTGTCCGGGTGGAACGGTGTTTTGCACCTGCTACGCGATTACGATCCTCGTTATCTCTTAACGTTCCTCTTATCTCGAGTTCCGTGTCTCGATGAAAAGGAAGCGTGCATAAGGTGCAGATTGCAAGCGCTCCTCTTCAAAGACCCACTTCTCCTAGTGTTTACTAGTTGAATCTTTGTCGCTTCTTTGTCCGAAGATTCAAACGATCGGACGTTCGCCGTTTCGAACGACGTTCTTTTTCGTTTTGTCCCGATGCTACACCATCGTGGACGCTGGATCGTTCTGGCTAACAGGGTTCGTCCAGATTTTCGAGCGTCTACGGGTTTTTTGCGAGTTCGGTTTTCGCGCATCCGTGCGAAAGGATCCTCGCCACCGTACCTGTCGGTCGTCTGTCGCAAAACCGCGTGACAAAGAACAAACATGTGACTAAAATGCCAACGGTGACGTTACTCTCGACGACCTTCGGACATCGAATTTTGACCGATCGTAGACAGGATACGTTCAAAAAAGTTTGCTTATCTCTATTGAACACTATCAGACTGGTTTGATAAAAACAACACGACGTTGTATATTTTTACGTTGCTTGATCATCAATGTTTAATTTTTCTTCGAATCATGATTGGCTCGCTGGAGTATACCGCGAACAGCACAATTGAACCAATAGTATTATCTACATACGAAACGATCAAAAATTTCACGTTGTGATTCGTTCACATACATTTTAATTTAAAGACAATTAATATTTTATTGATATGGAAATATTCTTCAACCTATGTACTGCACATCAAAGGGGGTGAAGAGCTAGGGATATTATACTAAGATACAGAAATATTGGCGATGTCTAGAGCTAATTGGACCCTGGGACTATTTCCAGTCTAGGGATATTCGAGACCTATAGGTTTTGTGGATACAGTGATATTTGAGATCTAGGGATATTTAGGACTTAGTGATATTTTGGATCTAAGGATATTTGGGACTCAGTGATATTTCAGATCTAGGGATATTTGGGACCTAATGATATTTGAAATCTAGGGATATTTTGGACTTAGTGATATTTAAAATGTAGGGATATCTGAGGTTCGGTGATATTTGAGATCTAGGGACATTCAGTCTGAGTGATTCTTAAAGTCTAGGGATATTTAGAGACGGCAGTGTTTGGAAACTAGGGGAATTTCAGAACTAGGGATTTTCAAATAGCTTGCATATATGGATATTTCACATCTAGGAATATTTGGTAACTAGGTTATTATGAGGAGGTATTTGAACTCTAGGGATATTAGAGTTATTATATAAAATCCCTATATTCCAATATACCACAGTTCAGAAGTTCTAAAATATCAAAGTTTGAAAATTCGAAAACGGCAAAATCTGAAAAGTTCCTAAATGAAGATGTTAACAAGTAGTCAGTAATTTTCTAGAAAATCGATTTTATCGGTTTCACTCCCCACCGTAGTTGCATGCTCTGTAAACAATCGAAGTGACGTTTGATTGCTCACGGTATAAGAAAGCGATAACAACGCTAGGATGATTTACGCATCTCACGGATCAACTTGAACGTTCGCGGAAAAAAGGGATAAAAGTGTCGCCGCCGAACGAGGCAAAGATCTGTTATTGTGCAGGAGTTTCTTCTTTCTGTTTCTCTTGGCAAACAGCTGGTAGCTGCCAGAGTTTTGCTTTCGTTTTCGTTCGTTCGATTGTCCTCGAGGTTGCAAGATGCTAAGCAGGTGGATAGCGTTCCTACGTTTATCAACGATCGTTTTGACGTAACGCGCCAGCGCTCGTAATCAGCATATCTTTAACGCGTTCTCTATTAGCATTCGATTGTATATTCGCGCAACGTAGATCACTTCTTTTTTTATAAAATTACGTCTTTACATCGCACGCGTCGTGTACGTTTTTTTAAATTGTATAGCCGGGATTTGTTCGTAAGTGCTCCATATTTATAAAAATAACTGACGAGTTATTGTTCGAAGAGACTCGTTACACGTATCATTGAATACATCTGAATTCTTATTCATTCGACGGAATAATAGCGCGCAACACGGTTAAACTGTACACAGTATATGTGGGCGATGCTGGTAACGAACGTGTTAATGAGCGCCCGGATCGAATAAACGTCATTAACCATCGCCATTACCATTGCCCGTGACTTTTACGCACGTAACGTATTATATGCGGACAATGAATGCATGAATAATATCAATAGCGTAATGTCAATACATTGACTCCTTTGGGGGTCACTCATGACCGATACCTCCTATCTTGTGTAAACGAATAATTTTCTTAAGAAGAGAAATTGCGAATCACTAACATTATACTTAATTTTTATTCACATTTAATTTTCATTGCTACGTTAAATTTTTCATCACAGCAATTCGCGTATTAATGATAATACCTGCTTAACAAATTATGAACTAAATTAATGATATGTTATAATTACATATTAACGATGCGTGGAGCGAAATTAATTTCGTGTTAATTATAATATTACCACAATGCGTACGTATGATACGAATGATTTTTAATCGATAACCGCGTATAGTTCTCAATGTAGTGCTACAAATATACCTAGTGAAATGTATGCAGTGATAAGGTGTTGACGGTAGCTTCCGGAGCGTGCATGATCCATCTCGCTTGAAATCGTCGAAAACATTCAGCATTCGAGACATACGAACTAGGAACACGATATTCAATTCCCTCGATAGAGGCTCGCGTATCAGTCAAAGCACGAGTGGACATCGAATCCGCGATTCGAGAACATAGACGACCGATTTTCACCGTGTGTCATCATTTTATCTATCATCCTATAACGGGTCGTTCGATCATATACGCGCAAACGCTGACCAGGCATTCGATCACGTGTGAATATCTGGGCCAAGGATTCCGAGGAAGGTTTCCACGAGTTCAAAGCTACCGATTGTCGTCACCCAGCTAGATCGAAATATATCGAAAGATCGAACCCTTCGTCGACCCTTTCGTTACGCTCCTTTTCGCTGAAAACTGCTCTTTTACGTCTACGTTGTTTTCTATGTCATTATCTGAATATCGATACCTAAGAGCTGCGATATCATCGTCAGGCGTTTGTTATCGTCGTGCTTTTCCATATCCTCGCGTTATATCGCCTAACATTATATTTTTATGATTTTTAGATCGCCATGTGTTATATTGCCACGCGATATATTGGTGTTTGTTATATCGCCATGCGTTTGTATTTGCTCGCGTTATATCGCCGAAAATTAAATCCGTAAGCATTCTACATCAGCATGTGTTATATTGTCAGACGATGTATCGGTATTTGTTAAATCGCCACGTGTTTGCATTTCCTCGCGTTATATCGCCGAAAATTAAATTCGTAAGCATTCTACATCAGCATGTATTGTATTGTCACGCGATATATCGATATTTGTTAAATTGCGACGTGTTTGTATTTTCTCGCGTTATATTGCCGAAAATTAAATCCTTATGCATTTTACGTCAGCATGTGTTATATTGTCACGCCATATATCGATATTTGTTAAATTGCCACGCGTTTGTATTTCCTCGCGTTATATCGCCGAACATTACATCTTTACATGGTCTGTATCACCACACGTTCTGAGTCCCCATATATTATATTACCTTGCAAAATATTAGTGTTGGTTATATTGCCACGCAATATATCGCCATGCGTTATATTACCATATGTTACATGTTCGTCATCCATTATGTAGCGTAATGTATCTTCATGCGTTCTATATTGCATCGCGTTATATCACCATTCGTTGTATATCACATCGCGTTATATCGCCATACGTTCTATATTGTATCGCGTTATATCGCTATACGTTCTACGTCACATCGCGTTATATGTATTGTATAATCATGCATGTTGTTATCATCCGTTATATCACCATACATTATATATCGCCGTGTATTATACCTCATACGTCATATATCGCCACGAATTATATCAGTGTATATTATTATATGTACACATTGCATATGTTCATGTGTTATATCTGCGCATGTTCTATATCGCCACGAGTTGTATTAGTGTGCCTTATATCGCCACACGTTGCATCAGTGTGCATTATATAGCCACACGTTGCATTAATGTACATTATATCGCCACGCGTTGAATTATCGCGCGTTAAATCTCTACACGTTGTCTCGCCATCCGTCATGTTCCAGTACGTTATGTATCGCCATGTGTCACATCTTCATACGTTGTATATCGGCACATGCTGTGTCACATATTTTACGAGAAACCTCAGTATCTCTAAATTGTCGTTAAGCTCAAGGAAAGATGATGATATTTCACGTTAGCGCCTCGTATCGATAGATCCATTAAGTTTATCGCGCAGGTAAAAATTCCCGAGAAAAATCGTGAAATACTTTGGCGTCGGTGATAAGCACCGTCTGTTATCAGAGATTTCGCCGTATCTTGTTAGATAAACGAAGTGGCAGGTGAATAATTCCTCGTGGAAAATCAATCGAGCTATTATTTCATTGGAGTGATTCAACGATACTTTTAATTTTGTGAGAACTGTGAAGACAGATTCGATAAATTATGTTTCTAACACTTAAGATTTTGATACGATCCTATGATTATCGAGAAACCTTCGTTAATCAAAAAATAAAGATACCGAGCACAGCTAAGAGCTTCCCGACTTTAAATGAGGTTATAATAATGTCACGAATGCATAGAATGCAAACTTTATTTTGTCGTTACCAAGTTTTCCAACTTATGTTTTAGAAGCAGTAAATGATAAATGTAGAAGTTTCAGTTACCTGAGAGAAACGAGAAAACCAGAGATTCAGGAGCCGGGAAATA